AAAAAACGAAAAAAAGTATGATTTTGGAGAAATAAAATTGGGAATTAATTTTCATGTCATAAAAATAAATTCTACGTTGAAGATGACGATATATGAAGTAACTTACGGTGTATAATCAACACGACAGGCAGCCACCTAATAATGTCTACTTTTTTTATTATTGTTCATCTAATAATATTTCTTTTTCAAAAAGAATATTTTGTTCAATGATCGCTTTAACAGATATAATCTTAATTCTTTCTTACGATACTAAAATTAATAAAGGTATTTCTCTGTTCTTTATTAATTTAGTAAAATTTCTGAAGATGTTATTAATTGTTGTAAACTTGTTTCTTTTCGAAAATATTGTTATCAAAGTTTTATTTCCTATTTCCAGTCTGTATAACTAGAGATTCTATGAAGAGCATAATTTTAATTTTCAAATTTCATTTCAAGTTTTATGACATTTTTCTTCATTTATTCTTTCAACGAGGTCAATCCAAAAAAACAAAACTTTTTTTCTTTTAAAAGTTAAAAAAATAATTACAATTAAATCTTCATCTATTGCCTAAAATACATATGAATCAGGAAATTGTCTGATTTTAGCGGATAGAATAGTTAATCTTAGCAAGTTACGAAAATTGTTTATAAAATTGACCTTGAAGTTATCATGCAAATTAAAAGAAAATAAGCTTTGCTCATTAATAACAAAGATGACTTATTGCTAATGAACAAAGCTTATTTGAAGCTAATTGAGTGATATACTTAGTTTGGATAAATTTATTAAATGTTTTTTTCAAAATTCTAAATGTTTTTTTCAAAATTCTGAGAAATTTTGCAACAAATAAGCTTCTCAAATAGTATTCATAACGCTTGCTTTATAGTGGAATTTGTCCAATTTTTGGCATCTCTCACACTCCCCGCTGTTATAATCTTTCAGACCGTAAACCTATTCCAATCATCTTATACTAAATCTTATACTCTTATATATAATACATCTTATACTCATATATAATCATCTTATCTGTAACCTACATCAGACAACAAACCGCACGATATATTGTCGATTGCTTTCAGTGCAACTGTCACTTTATCTGCTGCTATTTATAGCTTCCAATTCCTTCAGTAGTTCTGTGGAATGAGTCCGCGAGAACGTTGTTGAGCTGATAGCATAAATAAATTTCGTATAGAATCCCCCTGAAAGTCCCAATTTCCTGATGACTTCATCTGGGCAGTTTAAATATCAACAAAAGTGTGCTATTCAATCAAATTTGTGATCCTGACAAGAAAACACACGATTTGGTCAGTGGGTACGGTAGTTTGAGACTTGGTTGATTATCGGTGGTTGGGGGGTAGGGGATGAGTGCGGTAGTTCTTAAGGATGGAGTGGGTGAGATAGGTTTCGAAAATGGATTTGGATACATTTTGAGTAATTGAGCACGCATCATTTTTTTTTGTTTAAGCAAATTACGTCAAACAGGCAGAAGGCTGGGATAATTTGAACAGTGTGATCACGTATGATCTTGTGGATTCGTATTTCCAAATCTCTCTTTCTCTTACTCTCGAGCTGTCAAGTGAATTGTCAACGGGTTGCTGACGTTCTTTATTCTTATCAACCTGTCATTCAATTATTTTCAGTCTTTCTTCCTACCTATTTCTCACTCTTCCACTTACCATCGTTAGAAATGTCTAATAGCTACCTCAATAAGTCTCTACCTACCGTTCGTTCAACTCTCTGCTAGTCGTGGAAATTCGAATGAATGTAAAACATTGCTTGGCCTAAAAATAGGTTGAAGAAAATGAGTGAAAGAAAGAAGAAGAATGCGGAGGGATGAAGGGAAGAAGAGTATGGTAACGTGTGGGAGAGTTCTAGTTATTTCTTGCAATACTGCAAACTCATTCTTGTCAAATGCTGGAAATACTGAGTTGAAATGCAATATTTTAGAAGTTTGCTATTTTGTTATGCAACATAATCTATACAGTGATATGTATTTGTTAATGCGTAACAATGTATTGAACATAATTTCCTCAGGATGAAGAATTTATTTTATTCTCTTTTTTGCGTCATGTTCACCTATTACTAAAACACTGTTATTAGCATTATTCTCATTCTCGTATGTAAATTTGAATAAATCATTTTCAGAAATTACTTGTGAAGAATTGGCGTTGTTTCCGACGGGAAGATTGACAGACGGTACTCTGAGGAAGTTTTGTCTCGAGCAGTGACAGGATTAGATTTGCAATCAGAGTTTGTTCACTTACCTGAGGTAACGCCTTTTTTCCTGGGGAATGTATTTGTTTCTCAGCATATATCGTCCTGATTGCTATGCAAAGGAAATATTATAGAACATATCCTCGTCGATCCTTCCATTCAGACCAGGCTGCGTATCATTTCTTATAAAAGATATTATTGCTTGCACTTTAAACATTCATGAAGTTGAAAAAAATTGTACCTGTAATCTTTTCATAATAATTAGTTGCTCCCGTTTGCCGTAGATAGCAACGGCTGGACTGTGAAAGTAATTTGTTCAGAAAAAAGTGAGACATATTGAAAAAAGAAATGGAGCATTTTGCGAATCGATCAGCTCAAGCGCAACAGCATGTCTACACCACAACGCCCTACAATTTATATCCAAATCAACCACCATATATTGCTGGTTCGTTTAAATTTCTATATTCTTTATAATATAGTTTATATTTTAATAAAGCAAAAAGCGTCTGAAACGTTATATCTGATTTTAGAATATGATCCACCAAATTTTCTTGACGATGGTGTTTTCAATCAAGAAAGACGAATGACAAGTTTTACTTTATATATATATATATATATCGGTCTTAGCTCAGTGTTGCAGACGTAAATTAACGCTGCTAAAGGTTTTTGGAATCCAAATACCCATTAAAGTGGAATTTTTATAACTGAATCAGTAACTATTATATAAGATTAGAATGAAATTTCCTCTATAATGAAAATGTGAGTCCGATCACTATATAGCATCAGCCAATCATTATCACATTCCGTCATATCCGTATCTTACTTTTAGTATAGTACTCCGTAAAAGAGGCTTTCTGCAGAAAGTTGCGAGAAATGTGTTAGAAAACGTACTTATTGTGTGTCTCATCACTAAGTGTACGTGCTCAATCCTTCCTCGATTTTACATGTTTAGTATTTTTTCATGAATGCAGATTGCAAAAAGTAATATATGATGTTTCTCGATATCATAGTGGGTCGCTAGGTGAGGATTGAACTCATATCTTAAACTCATCTCATATCTAGTATCTAGTAAAAGTCACCATTCAGTAGACAAACTCATTAAATTAAGTGAATAGTGTGTAAATGAAATAAACTATAATTGTCTTATAGAGCTTTTTTATCAAAGATTTATGCGAGAAATCACATTAAAATGGGTATGATTTAGTGGAAATGTTACGCATGCATGTGTATTTGCATAATGCCGTTAAATTGCATTCGGAAATTTCGCATTTTTGTTGCAGCTTTTTTCACTTCTGCTGAACTTATTGTAGTATCTTGGTTTGCTGCACCTTCAACTTTCGTTTTCTTAGCACTTCACTAACAGTTTATTCTAAAAGTTCTTTACAAAGTCTTAACGTTCATCATCGATCAATTTTTTCAACACGAAATGCTTAAAAATTGGATTGTTCCTCACTCATTTATATCCAATAGCTGACTTTTAAGGGTTTTGTTGTTATTTCGGTTCTATATCGGGAATATCTGTTCCATTACAACCATTTCTTAAGAAGAACTCGTTTTCGCGAAATTTACACCATAAGATGTTGCAGTGTGAAATTAGATTCAACATTGCAAGCTAAATCTTTTTTAAGCATTCAGTAGTGGTGTTATTGTTGAACTTATTTATATTCCCAATAATTTTCTGATAAAAATGCAAAGTTTCACTTACCATTTTAATTAGTGATGACATACTTGTGAAAACTTTTTAGTACTTAGAACTTTTGAGAGGATACTGAGCAAAAAATCATCCATATAAATGGAAGTTTTACAGTTAAATTCCGAAATTAAAGGGATAAAACTTCCCAGAAATATGCTTACTGATGTAGTCTTTTTCACATACTCCTTGAAAACTGAGTTTTAATCCTATCTGATGCGTAAAGCTATATCTTCTTAACAGTGAACAGTTGCATAGTTAACGTAATGTTGCCTTATGCATTCAAATAGAAGTTTTCTACACTCTGTATGGTGCTTATCCTTTTTGTTGATCATTTTATTGCATACGATGGGACTAAAATTTGAAAACGTCATGTGCCGACATGTATGAATAACTCGTATTCCTCATTATTCTCTAATTGATGACAAAACACTCCATTTCTTTTTGTTTTTCGACAGGTAGCTGTTGTAACTATCTGTTATTATTTTTTTTTCCTGTTTTTCAAATTCTTTCTTCTTAAGATACGATAATTTTCGAATGGTAGGCATTCTTGTTATATTGCTTAATGAGGCAGTTTTTTTCCATTTGCTCTTTCCTACTTTAGTTCTTCATTTTTCATTTCCAACTTCCATAATCAATATAAAAATCGATGCTTCTCAAAACGAAACTTTTATTTCGTAACTTTATTTGGAAAAGAAATTATGGCTAGGGGCAACAATAGAAAAGAAATTATGACTAGGAACAACAATATATTTTAATTTTTCTTTGTTGCAGAAATATTAGTTGTGAAGAGATAGAAGAGTAGATAGCTGAAAGGGATAAAACTAAGCATTGAATGATATTATTTGCAGTAAATGGATGATTTTTGTTTTTTTTTCAGAAAATATTGGGTTAAATTTATTTATAAATTTAATGCTTAGTTTTATTTATAAATGGTGTCGTAGTTACGTATATCTAATATAGTTGTGGAAAATTTTTTCTGCAACTCGATCTTTTCATTTATAGCTTGAATAGTACCACATTCCGCACATTGCTATGCTCTTCTGTTTTCATTCTAAAATATAACTCAAAGGCCTCATTTTTTCGTCGAAATTTACGGCAACATGATAATAGACTTAAATAAAGCGAAGAATACTGTAACATCTGGCAGGTGAAAGTCAAAGGGACTGAAGAAAATTTAACGCGTGAGTGGTTGAGTGAAGAAATCAGAAAAGATGATCCACGCTCCGTGCTTCATTTTTAGCAGACATGCTATGTGTTTATGTTTCTCAAAGCTAAGTGGTTAAATTTCCTTTGGTGTCAAAATTGCTGTTTATGACATTATTTGCGTAGTTAGGGAATTTGTACGAAATTCTTTTGTTTTTTCTTTAGGTTATCAAACCGTTCCGCAGCATCATCCCGTGACATTTCAGCAAGGTCCAAGCCATTACTCTCGTCCGTCTATTGGTGCTGGGCGTAAGTTTAGATTTTTTTTCTTTAAAATCAATAAATTTGGGATACTTTTTCTTTATATAGGCTTTCAACGTCTCTTTATAATGCATATATCTGAGAAAAGATTTGTTCTTCGTCATAAAAAAGGCTTACTATTTTTCCAACATTAGCAACTAGTAGTTTTGTTATCCCTGTGATCTATTATGCATCATGTGAATATAGGTTATCACTTTATTCACTGCTTTGCGTAGAGGATTTGAATATTATTATGATGCATTTCTTCATTCACAGCGTCATATATTTTTATTTGGTGTTGACGCGGAAATGTTTAAAGAGGTGGCAAATAATGTACAACAACGGCAAAGTGGTCACGATGTTGGTGGAAACGGTATAAATCGTGGCAGTGGTGTACATCAGAGTAATGTGCCGTCGGGAAGTATCACTCATCAAGGCATGCATCAATCAGGAACTGTTTCGGCTGATGGATCGCATAATATTGCTCAAGGCATCACACCACTGGCAGCTTCACTTACACCGCATCATTGTATGCCTTTGTCTCAGGTTGACATTTGAATATCAAAGTTCGAAATTCCGTAACTGTAGTGGAGAATAGAGAATGACTAAGAGCGAAGTGCAAATATAATTTAATGTGTTTATAATAAATGGTAGTTAATAATAGATAGCATTATAAATTAGAATGTGGTTCCATTTTAATTTAATTTATATACTGTTGGTCAGCTTTCTTTTATAAAGCATCTCCGGCTTACTCTTGTTATTGCGTGAAATACACATTGTATGGATACTTTTCAGTAGTAAATGTTCAGACCGTCGTTATTGTCTTAGTCGTTCTGCACTTATCATTTTAAAGCAGCATCCTCCTGTTTGGTATATCTTGAGAGTCCTGCAATTTGAATCGAGTGATTCGCATTCCAATCTATAAATTACTAGATTCAAATTCACAATAGGTTGCTCGCTTTTTTAGTTCCAAAAGAAATTTTTGATTTGTAGGATATGCCATTGCGAATTGTTGTTGATGCAAAATATGTGGGAGCAATCATTGGTCAGGGTGGATCGAGCATCCGCGAAATAACGAAAGAATCCAAAGCGCGCTGTGTTGTTGATGTACAAAGAGCTGGGCGTGATCTTGCAAAAAATACGGAAAAGGTTTTCTTTTGCGATTACGGGATTTATGCTTTTTTAATTCTTGAGTTTTGAAAGTTTAATAATTATAAAAGGATCAAAATATAATTCTAAATATATGTCAATCATTTTTTATTATAGATCATATCTATTTTGGGGCAGCCAGAGGGTTGTTCGAAAGCATGCGTCAAAATTTTAGAAATTGTAAGGAAAGAAATGGAAAAAGATAACACTATAACGCAACAGTAAGGTTTTTTTTTTAAATATATCTTGACTTCTCTCAAACCTTTTGAATTCTGCCTTTAAAATATTGAATTTCCGATCAGGAATGATCAAAAAATTTGAACGTTTGAAAATTTGAACCTGTATTGTTTAAAAATTTTTTTACTTGATTATTTTGCGCTGTTTTCTATATTAACCATTCATCGAATCAGTTATTGAATACACAACTTTCAGTCCTGATATTGAACTGAAAATTCGTGCTCATAATCAATTGGTTGGACGTTTGATTGGTAGAGGTGGTGTTACAATCAAAAAGATTATGGAAGAGACTGGTGCTCATATTTATGTGTCGAAGTTGGTTTTATTTTTATTTATTTTCTTGGTTTTTGATGCGGAAATGTAGCTTTATTGATATTTCGAAAGCAGTCTGTGATGCAAAAGGGATCGGTTCACTTGTTGCTTATTTTTATTATGCGTTTGCATCGTGTTCGTGTTTTGCACTGTATAAAAACGGTAAACGTTATTCGTCTACAACTGTGATATGTGTAACATCTATAAAACGAGTATTGAAACTGAATTTTTATATGACGCAACTGGATCGCCCTCTTGCTATTGATGTATTAGTAAAATGTAGAAAATTTATCTAAAAACGAAGAAACTTTCATCATTGATTTAAGTGAACCAACTTTGGCACGTGACGCTTACGCCTTGATGCCACCCTATGCTGCTTCGCCGTTGTATGGATCCGATTTGTCAATGCATCTGGAACGAACAGTCACCGTGAAAGCTCCCACGATGAGTGTCGTTTCTGCAGCGGAGCAAAAAATAAGTCAAAAATTACGTCTAAGTTTTGAAGCTGATGTGAATAGCCGGGTTAGTTTCAAATTTCAAGCGAGAATTGGGATCTTTTTGTTCTTTTGTGTCGATTTATTTTTCATTTCTTATGCTACTGTTTAGATATTTTCTCTTTAAGCTTTGGGATGATCTTTAATGTTTTACGCAGATTGTTTTTTGACCTTATTCCTTGCAGAAATATTTAGATGGTACGGTATTCCTATTTTAAACGTCTGAAAAGTTTTTACTTTTTCTTACGCTTGTTTTTTATTTATTCCAGATTATCTTTCCAAATACGGGTGCCGCAGCGGTTATGCCTTTGATGACGTCCGTGGGTGAAGCAGGTTATGTGAATGCCGCTACTGGTGTCCCACCTGCCCAGTATGTTCGCAGTACGGTTGGTACTGCCACGACTGGTACAGGGCAGCAGCAAGTTCGTACTGTTCATATGTGGGTACCAAATAATATGGTTGGTGCACTTATTGGTGCAAAGGTTAGCTGTTTTTAAAAACTTTGTGCAATTAGATCAGAAGCAGGGACAGTATATAAGAGAGTGTTGAGGATGGGAACAGGAGCTTGAGGTTCTTAGCTAAGTTCTCAATTGATGAGAATCCTGAGTCATACTTCTTAATTTTTTTCCTTTGTGGAGTTTATCTCTTCATTTCAGCTTTTCTAGCTTTGCATGTGATTCGGCGATATACAGTTCTCAATAGTATTGTCTGACTATATGTTGTTATTATTGTTGTTAATCTTTTGATGAAGAAAATACATAAAGAATGAAAAGATATATTTCTCAACTTTGTCTGTGAGCTGATTGGCAATTTTGTTTTAATGGTGCTTTTAGGGTGCTCATATTCGAAGTGCAATACGGCTCACAGGTGCGCAACTCCGAATTGAAGGTGGTGGAATAAATAAAGATAAAAAGGAGAGCAGAGGAGAAGGGAACAACGAAAAAATTGACAAGGTTCAATAGTTCAATTTCTAGAGAACTCATTGAATTTAAGTAAATTTCAAAAAAGTTAGTGGTTTTTTGATGGCATGGAAAATCATCATTGTTATGCATAGGAAAACAGCAATGTGAGCGAATCATTAAAGAAGGAAACGGTGGAAGCAAATGAAAGGGTTAATGAACCGGGAAAGGATGAAAATAACAGCGATGAAAAACAAAATGGGAAGAAAGAAGAGAATGTAGTAGAAAAGGTCATATCAACGTTTATAATAGTATTGTTTTATCCCTCTTGCAAATATTGAAATATAATTGAAATAGATAAGCAAACTGGTTCTGGTAGTTAAGGTGTAAATCTTCTTTAAGCGTATTTTAAATTTTAAGCCAAAAGAAGTTGAATCAATCGGTTACGGTTACATCTTAATTTTTCATTATTTTCTCTTGAAATGCCGAAAATATTGACCAATATTAAATATTCTAAATCGTCATCGAATTGTAGGCATCATCACCAAAACTATCAAAGGACAAAGATAAGGATATTCATGCTGAGGAGCGTCTCGTGACGATTACTGGTAACGATCCTCAACAATATAAAGTAATTTTTTGATTTTGAATAGTTCTCAGAAGATTTGAATAGGTTTTTTGGAAGAAATTCCACAAAATATAGTGAAAACACAAATCGAATCTTAGATTCCACTAGACTATTTTGTTCTACTGCATCAAGATACATGTAGTTATAGATAAATGTTTATGAAATTGTAAGAAAATTTCATCTAGTCTATTACACATTTAAGACATTTAAAACTTCATTTCTGTCCAATGTGATGTTTTTCAATTAAAAATGAATGAGGTAAAAAAAGGGGATTAGACGGAAAAGGTACAATGTCATTATTATTTTTTACGAACTTTTTTGCTATTTGTTTCTGCAAGACTTATATTAAAAATTAGAGTATGCTGGCTAATGAGGTTATTTTTCGCATTTATGTTTCCTGATTTTAATGCTGAAGCTGATTCCAGATGTCATTTTAGGCACAATTCTGGATATATCAGCGCATTGCTGAACAAAGTTGTCACTACATGGATGAAATACGATTATGCACTGAAATTGCTGTGCCCAGCAAACTTGTTGGAAGAATTATTGGAAAAGGAGGCCAAAATGTGAGCTTCCTAATCTTAAACGATCTAACGCATCGAACTGAAATTAGAAATTCAAGTATTGAAGTAATTTCACTTAAATATTTTTAGGTCCGCGAATTGCAGCGTATGACAGGAGCACAGGTAAAAATTCCGGATGATGCAGGTGATGATGAAGCCCAAAAAGCAACGACTGTTCGTGTGCTCGGTAATTTTCAGTCGTCGCAAGCCGTGCAAGCAAGGCTTAGTCAGCTAATGAGTGATTTTTCACAGCGATTAACTGTTGGACCAGCCAATGGGCAAAGTACTTCCAATACTCAGGGTGTGTACAGAAGCTCAACATAGGTAATTTTTTAATATAATTTTCCCAAATTTGGATTAACTCACATTCATTTGTGCATTTTTGGTTATTGATTTGCGTCATCTGATTTTTCAAAATGCAATTTTTAATATTATGGAATTTTTAGTCTTAGACAAATCTGGACTTTCTTGTTCAAAAATTCTTATCACTGTGTGTTAAGGTCAAATATAGAATGTGACTTGTTAAGGGTAATTAAATTTGCCTGAAGTTGACGATATTGTTTGAGATGTTAAATCCCATTTTATATTATAGTATTAAAAATTGTGTTTATTTTCTTATTCGTTTTGAAAAATAGACCTGCAGCCATCTTAAAGTAGAAAGCTAAAAACAACTGATGTAAAAAAATTGGGTTTTTTCAGCGAGTCTCATTCATTTACTAAAAACATGATACATTTTAACTATAGGTTCTTCGCTGGGCCTTCAAGAATCGCAGTGGTAATGCATCTATTGAAGACTGCAAATTAAAAAAAAAATGCATTCACAGCACTTTGAAAATCAGAAGGATTAACGTCAGGTTTTTGTCGGTGAATTGTTCTAATTTATGATGCGCAAATTTAATTTGTTATGAAAATTTTTTGAATCCAGATTGAAAAAATAGTCAGATGTGTGTGTATATGATAATAGATATACATCGTTTGACGTATCTTGTATATTCGCGCTGTGTCATTAATATTATTATAACTGTTATTTATAATTTTTAGGCCCAAGGCAGCAGAATTCATTGATATTTAAAGTTTTAGTTCTCAACTGTTATTTTGATTTGGATTTTTGTTGTCGATTGTCCAACTGGGAAGTAAGTGACCTTCCAAGGACTGATGCTCATAGCTATTTCAAGTGCACATTAGGCGGTCAGTGATAAACATGCTTTGCTTAATGTTTGAGCAATTGGTTTCTAATTTCATTTAGAACTCTTTCTTTTGATTCTTTGGTGGTCGCTTTTTCCCTTTTCTAGAATTCTGGTTTATTGTGCTGCCTTGCATATTTTTTAACTGATATGAATGGCTTTTGTAAAGAAATTCGTTTCTTCTTTGTTATTGAGTTTACGTTTATTTAGGAAAAAGTAAAAAATTTTAACATTCTTCTGGATTTCAAATTGGCTGCCAATTTTTGCAAATTAAAATCTCTAAGGCTAGAATCAGCAGGCATAGCTTGATTTTATCGGTCTCTTGTTATTCTTGTGCTCAAGCACAGTTTGTTGAAAATCATCGTGAGCCTTCAGTTGTCATTGCTTTTTCACGTTAGCTGTCTTGTTGTTCCATTCGTCCATTATATTATTAAGAGCTCCGAAACATCCAGGATGGAAAATGGTATTATTGTTGAAGTAATTTCGCGTGTTGTTCTTATTTAAACTTTGTCTTATTGAAAATTTATCACTACTTAATAAAAGCCGACTTCAAACTTCCAGCCTTTTTTCAAGAAATTTCGAAAAATTATTGGAAGCGTTTTTTTATTCACCTGACAAAATGATTTATTGATTTCGTTTGTTTTGTTTTTCTTTTTGTTGTAGGGTATGTTGATCTGCACGTGTATGTTTATAATGACTTGTTTTTATTTTGTTTATCTAAGGGGACAACGTTTTGCCTTGAAGTTATCTGGCCAGGCTAATAATCTCTCTATTATTGTTCTCTATAGAGAATGCGTAATTTCGTAAAATATTGGTTTTGAAAAATTTCTTACATTATTTTTGTTTTGCATAAATTCCAAAAAATTTGGATTGAACATTCTGATTATCGCTATGCCGATATGGACTGTTCGTATTTATACAAAAATGTAATCGTGCGCAGAGCTAATAATCGTTCATTTCGATTTCCAAATTTCATTTTTAATTGAGAGCATTTGTTGTCACTGCTTAATCATCCTATTCAGTTATTTTCCTTCTGCTATTAGTGCTGTTTTTGAAATTCTTGAATCTGTGCACCAAGTCGCATTTGATTTATCCAGGAATTTTTTTATCTGTACACGTATGTTTGGACATCTACTACAAGGAAACGGTTCTTTCGCTATAGCTTCTCGTCACCTTGTTGTTTCTGGTACTAATTTCATCACTGCAAAATATGACATTTTTGATTGCTTTTAATATATTAGCAGTCCTCATCAAAAAATCGAACGTAGTTATTATCATCGATCTCCCATCAGTTCATGATTGTGTAATGTATTTCATGAATTCGGCAAATGAAACCAATTGGGAATTCGTTATTTTTGACTCGAATTTGAGAAAGATATAGAATTAATTTGATTTTTTGGATGGGAGGATTTTCCTTGGTTTTGAAACGTTTTTTCTGGAACACCAGGAGAAAGTATATTTCTCTTTCATGAAAGCAATTCACCTAATATTGGAATTATAGTATGTTCGCGACCGTGCATTTTGTTACGTCGCTTGCATTGTTTCACTGTTATTGGAGCTTGAACTTTCCATTTGTCTTATGGGAACAGTCAGGAATTTTTAAATTCATCTTGTATATCTTCAATCATAGAAATTTAAATCACCTATTTTTGGACATTACACCTATCAGACGTGAGTCGTGCGCATTCTGTCGCTTATTTGTATTTTTAAAAAATGGAACTATCAATCAGAACATTCAAATCTGTTTTACCCATTTTGATACTTCATGTTTTGTCTTTGTAACTGTATCAGTCGTTATACTTTTGCGTCGCTCGTTTTATTCTCTCAGTAAAATATCAGAGTTTTGTAGTCTTCTCATGAACGCTTTCTTGTCTTGTTATTTCTGCTTTTTATTTTTGAATTGTTAGCTTCTGCTGCCACGAATTAAATGTATTCTTGAGTTTTGGAAAATATTTGCAAAGCTCGTGATCTAGGTTGCATTAAGATGAGATTTCGAAATCTTATGTCTACCTAATAATGTGGTATTCGAGTAGTAAATATGTATTCACTAAACAAATGGAATATTTGTAATATGGTAGCATATATGAAGTGACATTCAGTAATCAAAATTCTTCAATAGAAAAAGTGTATTTTGAAAATGGTACACTGTATTGTACATGTCTGCAATGTGTTTGAAAAAAGACAATCCAAGTAAAATTGTCAAACTGAAATGTCCACAGATCGTTGACTTGCTAACCGCTTTATGGCTAGTGAGGTGTTTTGCGTGAGTCAAAGGAATCAGTTTTTCAACATGGCTAGAAGTTATGAAGTTACATGTAACTGTATTTTAGGCCTACAAGGCGCGTAAGAGGGTTGTGCCGAAAAAACCATGCTGTAGACGTTACTGCATAAGTTTCGTAGGAAAGATAACCATCCTGCTTGTAAACAAGTTTGGCATACCATTGTATCTTTTACTTTTGTTAGAAGATGGCAAATCAAATATATGAGGTCATGCTAATAAGGCATATCACCAATCTGTTGGGAACAAGCATCTGATAAAAAATTCATTTCGTAGAGTTTAAGGCATTGCTTGCTAAAGTAGTAATATTTGTTTTGCTATCTTTACCAACTTCATTCTGAGGAACCAATTCATACAAAATCACTTTAGGCGGTTTTTTGGATTATTATATCTGAAATCCGAAGTTGCTATTTCGCAAACTCAGGACATCGAGTTGGGCATCTTTCTGTGGTACCAGTTTAGTTTTGAAAATCATTTTTTATAGTGATGTTTGGTTCGTTTTTACTACTCAGTTTGTACACTATTTGCATATCGTTTGTTGAAAGTGTAAGTGTCGTCTCCGATTCTCGACGATTAGGTGTGAACCAGCTAAAATTTCATGAAATACTGATTGCTAATGAAAATCATCATCAGTCAACAAGATTGATAAATGCAAATTATGTGTGGTTTTTTTGGGAGATTTGAAAACGGTGATCAATGGAACAGCAACTCCGATTGTTAGTGAGGTATTGTCATATCAGATTTCAAAATACTCGAAACATTCAACATTTTGGAAAAGATTTCAGCGAAAATTTAGGAAACCAAAATCGAAAAATCAATTTATCCTCATGTAAAACTTAATAACGAGTGGCTTAATGAGATTGAAATGAAATGTCGTAATATGAGATTGAAATGAAATATCGTAATTTGAGATTGAAATGGAAGACATGCAAGACATGAATTTCCTGTAGGCTTGTGAGATATTCCTTGATTCACAGCTTTTATGAATGATTAATTTCACTGCATAGGTCAAAAATTGATCTTTAAAATTATCACTCGGAAATAATTAAACAGTATTATCAACTATTTTTGAAATGATCAATTGCAACAAACTACATAAAAGAGTGAATATTTACAAGTGATAAGTAATAAATTAGGAATGTCTATGTTTTGTTAAGTGAAGGTAAGGAGTGTGGTTATCGAACGAAATGAAATAGATACGGAATTGATGATGAATTTTCAAAAAATAAAAACTGTACAAGAGGTGATGGGAGGATGAGTTCCTTCATTGATTAAGTTTAAAGGAATTTGACCAACTGCTAGCTGAGGATGAGAATGTTGAATTTGGACCACCACTCTTTTACATGAGCGTCTTCTTCACCATCTGAGGAAGATACCCATGTAAAGGGAGAATTGGCAAGTTTACCGGTGAATGAAACCACATCTGAAAGGATACCGCAGATAACAAAAACAACTGATAATGCAAATAATGCTGTTGCTGTTAGTTCCGCTCATTGTAGATTAACACAGTATTTATTTTTAAAACGACAACTACCGGAACACTTAAAAAATTATTCCGGAAAGGTCATTTTAAGATGATAATTGGAGATAAAAATTAAAATTATCCATATACACTTAATAATAAGTGTTCTCAGAGAGCTACCACCAACTTGATGGGATGAGACAAATGAAAGCAAAAATTAGGATGTGTCCAGGCTTATTTTTACAATGTAGTGTTGAATAATTGTTGTTAGTTCCGCTCATTGTAGATTAACACAGTATTTATTTTTAAAACAACAACTATCGGAACACTTAAAAAATTATTCCGGAAAGATCATTTTAAGATGATAATTGGAGATGAAAATTAAAACTATCCATATATTTATGAAGGAAAAAGTTTAATTGGATGAGAGAATAGAAAAAGCAGATTAAAAAAATAAGAAAATAATATCAAAAGAAACAATTCAATATTACCGTTATTGAATTCATTAACAGCGAGAAAGGCAGATTCTGCAGAATATCTCCGATCGGCAAAATCTCCCACATCATTATTGACATTCTCTTCATTCCACTCTTCAACATCAGGTAGTTCGCTGGATGGTAACTGAAAATAGCATACTTATTTTTGTGTTCCCTCCTTAAATAAACTCCGAACCATATATATTGTAAATGGGAGCAATACATTATACAATCGATTTTCGAACTTTCATAAGAATCTGTTCAAACAGGAAAGCTTCTTCTCTTTTTCTGTTTCCGTTTCATATGTTCAATTTCCTATAACAACACAATGGGATAGATCAATGAAATTGAGAAATATTATACATACATTAACTTGAACACCTTTGATTGACTTCCTATCATCGCGAGTGATTGGTATAGTTCGTTCAGCGCTCAGTAAAGATTTCATGCCTTTTTCCTCACGATCTACCGATTGGGCGCTATATACTCCTCGTAGTCGAGTGCTGGAACTTCCGGTAAAAATGAACTTTTTTGCAGCCTCCTAAAATCAAAACTCGTGAAGAATTTGGAGTAATTTCATCAATAATATAACAAAAAAATGCCAAAAAACGTATCTCTTATTTTGTCAACAATCCTCATTAATTCATTCATAAATTTGAGGAAAACTAGACTGTGTAAAACATTTTCGCAAAACGAATTTCATTTCATTTGCAAATAGATCATTTCAGTAAATCAAAATGATCATTTCAGCTCTAATATTCAATGAGTTATGAACATATAATTAAATAGTAAAACTTATTAAATTTACTCAGATAAAGCAAATAATTAATTCTCTTTCTTTTTATTCTTCTTCGCTTATCTTACATTGCATTTTAATAAAGTGAAAGTATTTACTAACTTGATAGATTTATCATGAACTACCATTTTATTTCTATGAGTGCTGCGTATTTTATTTCCAATGTTACTTTCAATTTTAAAATAAAGTAAAAAAAACGAACACCAACAAGCTCTGGGATACTACTCCTTCGTGATCTTTTAGTCGGTTTATATTTGATCAATTCCTCCTCTTCATTATCAATTGATTCACCAATTTGTTGTGATTGATCTTGCTGAAGATTACTTGGTGCATTTACCTGATTTGAAATCTGATTTAGTTGTAACATCGAAGACATACTATGCTGTTCGTTTGGAAATGGTCGCAGATGAGCAATCAATGGAATATCCTTCTGAAAGTAACTTTTTCACAAAGCCTATTCACTAAACTGAATATTTTTCTTAGATGAAAGATTCTGTAGACTTAAATATCTGTCAGAAAATGGAACGCATCAGACGAATGGTCTTTTATGATCTATTTTGTCTCTCATATGCAGAAACGGATAAATATTACGTAAGTGACTATATTATTTCTCTTGCGTGAATGCAAGATGGATAAGAGTTGCTATTAAATGCATGATCTATAGAAAATAAATTGAATAAAATTTAAAAAGGCACATTTTGCTGTGTTTTGATTCGTCGTAGACAGCCTTCCATCCATGTACGTATCGTCTGCTTTGCCACTTCCTCTTCAATGATATATTCCAATTCTTCCCGATGTAGCAATTCCTCAAGTTGTAAAGATTTTCGTATATCCACACTACGGTACGATAGCATACTAAAAATTTCTTTCTGGTAAATAATATAAATAACTAAGATATGAATTATGCATTGCAATTGTAAACAACAATGAATGATAAAAAGAACAAGAGACCGAAATCAACAAGCAATCGAATCATTTCAAGAACAAATTATATAGGAATTCAAAAGAATAACGAACTTCAGAACATCATGAAAAGAGATGTCATCACCATTATGCAGTCGAACCATTTCATGACACATATACTTAAACAGCAGACGATCTCGATTTGGATCAACTTCTAATCGACCTTTCAATAAACGCAGTAAAAATTTCACTCGACGTACCGGTATTGTGCGCTATAAATGTATAAATGTTAAGGAGATAATAATGAATTAAATGGGATCATTTGATAGCTAGCAATATCCAGATTAGCATATTTCTTGTTCTATCGAAAGATAAGTTGCATTGAATGATAAGATAGTGTTAATAGTTTTGAAATCACTTACTTTCTGTTCTACATCTACCATATTCCAAACTTGCTGAAAATTACGAATATCTGCGTAGCTGAGAAGAGCATCTTCTTCGCTTGAATAAAACAACGAGAAATTCTCAATGATCACAGCTGTAACAATGATTTTTTTAAAGATTTATTCCACAGCATTTTTGAAGAGAAGCGTTAAAGTTGACATGGAACTTCCTTAAGACGAACCAACAAGAAGATTGAGAACGATGTAGGTAATAATGAGATAGAAAGAGCAGAAGTAAATAATTGCACCAAAGTAATTGCCACAATCAGTTTGCCAGTAACTGACACCTTTCTTCCAATAGCATAATGGTGGACTGCGCTTAAAAAAAAAATTTGAAGATTTCCAAAACAAAATAAAATGAGAGGAATATAACCTATAATATAGACAGATCTGGTAAATCGATTAATTCCTAGCATTGTATACAAAGATGTTTAATTTGAATGTGATAAGTTTACAAATATATCTTTATAATATAAAAAGAAAAGAGATAAGTGCTTAATAATATACCATGCAGTCATGCATAATATCATTCCAATCTTCACCAGTGACACTTCGGAAAAGTACCACTAAGGCTTCCTTGGCATTTCGAAAATTCACATGTCTGAAGAAATTCTTTGATTCATTCTTTAAGTCTTCTAAATCATTAATGAATTAGACTGAAAACTTTTAATGAAGAATGTTTTGATTCAGAGAACTAAATCTTCACTCTCATTTCAGTATGTTCTATGTTTCTCGCAGGAAAACTTTTTTTTTGTTTCCACAACGACAGCAGCGCATGTGCAACAGGAATTCTATAACTAAAATAATAAACCATATAT